CTAAACCGACGTTTCTCATGTTTTTCAGGCCTTAAATGGACACAGGATGATATTCGGGGTGCGCTTAACTAACGAGAGGATGGGAACTTGCGTCGGAAACTGCAATTTATCAGACACATACATTAGGCTAAACCGACGTTTCTCATGTTTTTCAGGCCTTAAATGGACACAGGATGATATTCGGGGTGCGCTCCGATAACTAACGATGAAGAAGGCGCCTCACAAGAGGACAATCGTCGGTCGGTCTGCGGTTCTTTCGTGTGCGCTCCAGTGACAATGGACAGCAAAACTCCATCAGAAAACAGCGGGGCTCATTCGCATCGCGGGTTTTTGGGGTGCGCTCCACTAACTCCCTGTGAGCAGGTCGTTCAGCCCGCTACCGGGTGCAGGGTTCTATGCGGAGCCCACATATCCGTCAGTGAAAACAATTCACCTTGGTGATATCTACTTCCAGACCGTCTCCGTCTCAGATTCTTGAGGGTTCTGGTCTGGAAGAGGCGTTTCGAAACCTGGCTCGATTGTTTTTCCCTTTGCATGTGTGCTATGCGACGTGACTTAGTTCGGACGGTCACTCGGGGACCGCACTATGCCAACTTTGAGTACATACACAAAACTCAGCACACGGCAACCACAGTACACCTTTCCTCATTTTGTTGGTAAATTTTGGCTTGTGATTTCGCGCGTCACTCGATTCCGGTGCATGCACAAATCTGTGTCCCAGCTGGCTTATCGCTCTCGCCCCCCCCCCGCAGGCGGAGGTTTTCTTTCTACCCTGTACAAATCAATATGAACTGTCCGGGTCTCTCGCCACTCGTCGCGACCATATGCACTATAAATTTGAGTCGCTATTCACACAACTCACCGCGCAGTTATCTTCTGCTTACCGTGTTTGTGCTATTTCCTGTCGTAACGGGAGTTATTCACACTGCTTATCAATAACCGCTCAGCTGAAATTAAACAAAACTGGCCTCCTTCCGGGAGTTTATGTGATCTGCGCCTTTGATGGTTCACAAAAAGCATAAAACGGCTGCACGGTAAACTCTGTCAAACAGGATGAGACAAAAGGGAACAAAGAGGGACAAATTATCTTTCAGTCGTTTCATTGATTCTCCCCACATACCTAGTTATCCTCATTAATAACGCTACGTAGTTTTCCCCCCGGGTACCACTTCCTTTCATTGATCAAAAAACGCTTTCCCGCTCTCTGTCACTTTCCAAGCAATTTGCATATCTGCTGCGGCGAGCAAGCCATTTTGTATGAATAATTTCAGGGTGCATTGCAATCACTCACTATCGATTGTTTTTGGATCTGCGCTCACAGCAACCATGTGAGCGCGAGTGATTTTCCAGACAGGTGAAACAATTTTGTGGACTAAGCACATTCGTGGTGGTCGAGCTTCTGTGCTGTAGTGGTTCTACAGGCTATACTTGCTGGAACTCAGTTCCTAAAGACTCGACCATGCCAAGAAGGCCAACGGGAAGCAACCCGACGAAGAATGGCGAGTAATCATCTGGCGATCTGCAGGTAAAGCCATACTGTCTTTTGCGATAGGAGCGTGAAGGCAGTAAGGTGTTTCCCTCAGGCGACCAACATGTCCATATTTATGGAAGCAGCGATGCTGCCTTCCCCCGAGGAAGGACGGGTTAGAAAGGGTCGGCCCCTAAAACCGCACACTCCGATCGCCCAACGGTTGACCGTGACCGCCACCGCATTATCCAATACGGTCGAAATACTTTTAAAACCAAGGAAGCCGGTGCTGTTCAAAAGACACCTGCTGTGCGCAGCCGCATCAGGAATGAGACAGTAGTACTGTACTCCATGCGCCGTTGGATCGGGCCGGCCCCCTACAGCCAAGTAGGTCAGACTATTGAGTGATTGGCTCCGGTCGGAGTCCCCGACCCTACATTCTCCCACTGTCCTAAGGGTCAGACTTTTGAGTCAAAGGCTCAAGGTGAGGTACCTCAACCAAACCTCCTTCTTTGGCCTGGACAACCGGGATGTATCACTTGCCCTTGCAGCTCTTTGCTCACCGGCCTTCTCCCTCATTCCCTCCCAACAGTGCACATTTTCAATCAGCCTCGGTTGTCAGGTACCACACGTACGGATGTGCCGGTGACCAGTATAACGAATTCATGGGACTTTACTGCAAAAGTGTTACGTATGAACGAGTACGATCAACCGCCATACGCGGCTCACAGATCGCCTGCTACGACGTGACCAATAGCATAGAGGAAGAGCTAACCATCAAAAAAGAGCTTTTGCCGCCCCACCCAAAGGCAATGTACAGCCAGAGCAACATCAAATGTGCATGTATTTTGGTCGACTTTGAAGAACAACATAGGCGTTAGTGTGCGACTAGCCAGCAGGAAAGAAACGCGGTCTTTTGGCAAGATTACAGGAAATGGCGCGGAAAGTCAGAAACCAAATTTTAGAAGGTCAACTTTGTAGTGATTCCACAATTAGTGGTTATTAAGAGCATTGATTTACCCGACAGAAAATTCTGATTACGATGCTTTTCAGTGGAGACAAGTGTTTGGTTCTACAATATCGCATTCTGAAGAACGACATAGGCGTTAGTGTGCGACTTGCCAGCAGGAAAGAAACGCGGTCTTTTGAAAAGACTACAGGAAATGGCGCGAAAAGTCTGGAGCTAAAATTCAGAATGTCAACTTTGTAATGATTCCACAATTACTGGTTATTAAGAGCATTGATTTACCCGACAGAAAATTCTGATTACGATGCCTTTCAGTGGAGACAAGTGTTTGGTTCTACAATTATCGCATTCTCTTTCCAAATGCCGTAGTTTTCCGTAGATTCCGCCACCCCCTTGGGACGCAAATAGGACTTTCCTGGGAGGTAGTCCCCATAATGTTGGTGAGGACTCTTAGGTTCGAATAAATAGATTATGCTATCATGGGTCCACGTATGTCTTGGAGTTGAAAATCACGAGTTTTACGCCCAGCTCAAAGCTGTCAGTTGTGCGAGCCGGTCAATGAACATGTGGAACTGTCAACACTGAGGTCATGGGTTCAACCTTTTAATTCTCCTATCCGGAGAACCTCTATTAGCATTAGGGCGCTCACGTCCCTGGTCCTTCTCAGCCTCAAACGTGTTGTAGACCTACGTGTGTTAGAGAGGGATACAGTCCATGGGCTGTACTGTAAGCCAGTATAGGCGAGCTCTGTTTCGGTAGCTCTATCTCGTCACGATATACTCATGATGGACAAGTGCGGCAACAATGAAGATGGTAAAAGTAGAATTTCCAGGTGGGCCTTCCACGTGCTCGCACACAAACGCGGGTGACGTTAGCAGAGCTGTGGTGCCCCCCTCAGCTCTAACAGCCTCTGGTCTTGAAGAGGGCCAGACTTTGTTTGGTGGAGGTTTCAAAAGAGGGCCACCAGATTACCACATCTCCATTTCCAGTGTTTCACTATACTACTATAGAGGGTACATTCAGTAGTAGAGTTTTTCACTCCCACCATGGAGGGACCATCCCCTGTAGAAGATACTATTTTCGGTGAATCCTCTTAAACCTGTGTTGAATTTTACAAGAAGGGAACACGAGTCCTCCTCAGATTCATTTCAGTAAAAACTTATAAACGTAGTTCCGCTCAACAGTCGCGCTTCATGGATTTTGGTTCTGTTGCGTTCAAAATTATACTACTCATAAGTCACTTATTAAATTCGCCCGCCTTTCTCGAGCAGGACAGTGGTTCGCGCCTACTAGCTGGCAGATATAACTGTTCTAACTGAGTTGTGCCATTGTTTCACTCGGTAACCCAACATTCCATGTTAAGGCCGGCGGTCAGGGTCGGCTGTCTGTCATCCGATTTCTCAAACAAAATATCTCGTACTCATGATGTGATCGATTAGTGTGACTGAGCTGAAATACCTGGAATGAGTCTATTCCCTAGTGAAGCTTGTCGCGTTTCCTAAAGGAAGATTTGAGACCTGTTCAAGACTCATACCAGAAGCAATTAGGTAGCAGTGGCGAGAGAGCCCGTCTCTAAAGGACGAATGTGCGCGAATGATTGTGCAAATGAGTGTGTTTCGTGCAATTTGGTCTCAACTAGACGGAGACTCAGGAACTCTGCCCAACTGATGAGCTCCAAGCAAGGGGGAACCGGTCGTAGGCTGTCAATAGAGTTTTCAGCGACCTTATGAGTAGTGTATTACGTCTATACATGTACCGAGATACCTCGACATGAGGCGATCTGGTGTAGTACATTCATTTTTTTAAAAACATCATTCAGGTAGGTTCCAGGTAAGTCTCCAGAAAAACGAAATCTGTTTGCAAATGAGTGTATTTCGCTAATTACATGCAATTTGGATTCAAGTAGAACATAAGTTTGACGGAAACCCGGAGACTGCGCCCACCTGGTGAGCCCCAAGAAGGGGAGACTGGTCGTGGACCGTCGGAGAGTTTTTAGTAGGCCTATCAGTAGTGCGTTACGTCTATTCTATCAAAGATGCCTTGTTCGTGTCGTCTTGTCTTTGATGAGAATGGAACGCGATGAAAGCCTCACTGAAACCATTTCGAACAGCTCCTTAAAAAGGGGCTCTAAATGCTACGCACATGTTAGCGTCGCGCCAGAGTTGACGGGATGAAAAGTACTAGGCCAGATTTTGAATCCGAACCATTCTGGCCAGAACGCGCACGTTTATCTGGTCCATTCGCCGCCGACTAACATGCGTCATGATCAGTTATTGCGAACGCTTCCCATCCAACTCCGTGGACCGTCAAAAAGGATCTTCTATCGCGTGGAGTCACCAATCTGGACAGAGGGAAGAGCAGGAATCTATCACCCACGTACACATCGGTTACTTGGAGGGAAATCAAAATCTAGCTACCTGGCCTTCCCGGTCGATGCATGCATCACGATCACGTTCTTCTCATTTGATTTTGGCATTCAAATGGGCAGTTGTTGTTCACCTTTCACTTCCTCGCATATTTTAGCTCATCAAAACCCAGCCTTTCAATCTATCCACTTCGTTTCAGAGTCGCATGCGGCAACAATAAACCTGGGCGGGACATTTACGGTCACACACGCGATGGGAATCTTACTCAAATAAAACATCACTGGTTGTGGAAAGTGAGTGTTTTGTTCTGTGTGTTCTCGTGCAACAAAACTAAGTTTTTTCCTTCAAACTTACTACTTACAAGCCTACTGAATAACAATGAATCGGTTTTATCCAAACTCCCGAAAGTTGTTCTGGTTCCTTCCAAAATACTCAATATCTTTGTCTGCCACCTGAGTGGACGTCGTCTGGACGAAACAGAAAGAGCACTTACAAGATTGATGAAGACCTTCGGTTTCACGAACGTCTGTTGAACCACTTGGGAGAATACTGGTGGCCTTAGGTGCAGTGATGTGCATGTTTTTTCCAGCTCATAGCAAAACTCAGCGGCCACTAGCGGTCCTCGAAGGTTTCCCCTGTTGGACTAAAGTCCTTGAGAGGTGAATGTTTCATTTTTTACTTCTCAAAAACGAACGACGACTCACCCAACTCTAATAGTGGCCGTTGTTGAGCGGCAACACTGTGTTTCTCACCTAGATGCTCCAAAATAAACATTTGTACTGGCAACGTTTTCAGTACTGCTTCCCTTTTGTTTTTTTATCATTTCAGTTTCAGTTTGTTTTCAAGGATTTGGTTGCCATAAAACATTTTACTGGTCACGTGATTTTCCTCGAAGAAGACTACTACGTTGTGGAGGATATACTAGCGATGCGGCGCTTGGTCGAACATGTGTGGAGGTAAGTTGAACGGATAATGGTAATTAAATGATAATAAATGAATGAGTAATCTTTCAGCAGTAAAATCTCTTTGGTCCCTGGCTGCCATACCACCCGAAGGAGGCACGAGAACCGAGTTACCGCCAGGTTGTCTAAGCCTAGACACTGGCAGTCGAGAAGCCGTGGTTGGATTTGAACCGCGGACCTTCCGATAAGCAAATTCATGCCTTGACCACCAGGCTAACTCGAGATCGGTTGGACGGATAGGTACTTGGTGTACCAGTCGTCTCTCAAGGGGCTTGCTGCACTTTGCGATTCGCATTGGTGAACTGGAACTTGTAGCTGAGATGTTTGCTAGGGGTATTCAGGTTTGCTCGACCGACTTTTTCGTATCCTCTCCCTTTTCCAAACTGACACGCATGTCACAGCTCTTTACCCTTCTGACGGAGCATTCCTTATGAATAAGACTTCCGAAAATATGGCTCAGAATGGATAAATGTCTTCCCAAGTCTGAAGTACCGTTTTATTTTCTCAGTCTTTCTGGAGACTCCTGCACTACATTTCGATGGTCCTGTCAAAATGGACTCTCTGAAAAAGAGGCTGCTTTCCAGGGATGGAGCACAACAGCGCACCCCCCCTGCAGAGCGGTCACCCCACATGAGTGAACAAAGAGCTTCTTTTCTCGTGGAGCCCTCTTCTTGGCGGGCTTACTGGATTAAAAGATATACTTCCTAATCTGGCGACAGACAGTCGCTTGTTTCACAGTGACGGCATCGGTGGTAGAGTTAACGCCCTTTCCGGTTTGACGGAAATCATAGGTGTAGAACGATGCGTTCGAAAAGAAGCATTTCCTTGGGATTCTGCAGTGTACGTAGAGAAACTTTCTAAACGCTTGTATAAACTGGAAATGCAAAGAGCTAAACAGAGCGAATTCGGCGTACGTCAGAGAACGTGTATCCCGTCTTTTCACTCTCCTCAGCCTCCTATCTCAACTGACCTTGGTTGTGTATGCGTCTCACCTTGTAGGTGATTTTTTTCCGAAATTAGATGAATTTAGCTACTCACCACCCCGTATGAACTTTTGAAAGACTCATCTCCACGCCTGCTCATCGAAGTGTGACTCATTCATAAAAGCCGACACCCAATAGCAGAACAATATCGTCACAGCCGGGCTTATATGCATGCAAGTCGGGTTTGTGCCGGTGAGCAGTGGTCAAACTACTGGATGCCTTCTTCTGGTTGGAGAGCCACGAACGGCGTATGCGCAAGCGAATGTGGTGTTGTACAAAAGCCATCAGCACCGATATTGACCCGAAGGAAGACGATCGGCGGGGCCCCTGCTGCAAGTCATCAGTCGGCCTTAGCTGAACGGCGTATCGGTCGGCACCAGCGGCGGCGGTGACTTATTTATCAGCGAAGGACCGGAATCACACACCGCACCCCTCTCATTATAGCGCCGTGCAAATATTCCCGGGAGCTTCTCACTCATCACCATCGTCGACAGCATGACATCAGTGTTCAACACCGATGCTTCACTGCCGTACTGCAATGAGAGTATTGTTAGTCCTGATTGTCATGGTTGTACGAGGGCTGGGATACTGTCAGGGCGCCCACACCTAGACAGAAGGATGATTAGGGTCCTCAACCAAAGCCTTTGGCTCAAAAGCCAAACCGCAAGGCAGCGGTGTTTGGCGGGAAATGCAAATGAATTACCATTTCTACGGAATCATGCGCCACATGTTCCAACCCCCAACCTGGAGGGCCAGCTTCTCACTAACTCATCGTCAAAGTTCCAACGGACAACCTTTGAAAAAAGCATGAAAAATGGAAGATGTGACTGGTCGTGTGGGAGGCGGAGAAGTAGAACACGCTGAATTTATAACACGCGGGAATCAACAACTTGCATTGCAACCTAGTTGTCCAAGTTACACAGGTTGTTGAACAATTTTCTCTTGAACTTCTGTTATTGATTCGTGGTGGACAGTGTCTTCGGCTCAGAAACGATCTGGACAAACGTTTAGTGAGGGTCACATTTAACCAAACAACCGGCTGAATGCGGGGCAGTGATCCGTGTGAAGTTTAGGAGGTACGATATCAGAGAAAACGGACATTCTGCGGCGAAAATCCGTATGAAGGATTCGTCTCCATGTTCCAGGTGTGACGGGGTTGGATTGTATTCGTTTGAACATCTCCAACTGTACATGAGGACATTTCTTTCGTTTTCATGAGAAGAATGAATGCTGAATCGTTGCGGGGGGGCCCCTGCTGCAAGTCATCAGTCGGCCTTAGCTGAACGGCGTATCGGTCGGCACCAGCGGCGGCGGTGACTTATTTATCAGCGAAGGACCGGAATCACACACCGCACCCCTCTCATTATAGCGCCGTGCAAATATTCCCGGGAGCTTCTCACTCATCACCATCGTCGACAGCATGACATCAGTGTTCAACACCGATGCTTCACTGCCGTACTGCAATGAGAGTATTGTTAGTCCTGATTGTCATGGTTGTACGAGGGCTGGGATACTGTCAGGGCACCCACACCTAGACAGAAGGATGATTAGGGTCCTCAACCAAAGCCTTTGGCTCAAAAGCCAAACCGCAAGGCAGCGGTGTTTGGCGGGAAATGCAAATGAATTACCATTTCTACGGAATCATGCGCCACATGTTCCAACCCCCAACCTGGAGGGCCAGCTTCTCACTAACTCATCGTCAAAGTTCCAACGGACAACCTTCGAAAAAGCATGAAAAATGGAAGATGTGACTGGTCGTGTGGGAGGCGGAGAAGTAGAACACGCTGAATTTATAACACGCGGGAATCAACAACTTGCATTGCAACCTAGTTGTCCAAGTTACACAGGTTGTTGAACAATTTTCTCTTGAACTTCTGTTATTGATTCGTGGTGGACAGTGTCTTCGGCTCAGAAACAATCTGGACAAACGTTTAGTGAGGGTCACATTTAACCAAACAACCGGCTGAATGCGGGGCAGTGATCCGTGTGAAGTTTAGGAGGTACGATATCAGAGAAAACGGACATTCTGCGGCGAAAATCCGTATGAAGGATTCGTCTCCATGTTCCAGGTGTGACGGGGTTGGATTGTATTCGTTTGAACATCTCCAACTGTACATGAGGACATTTCTTTCGTTTTCATGAGAAGAATGAATGCTGAATCGTTCCTTCTATTCTGCGTGTTCGGAGAAATTTCACACGGATCCCGTTTTACCGCTCGCACTCAGGTACTGCTACGACCGAGAAGTCCATCCCACACAAGACCGGCCAAGAATTCGGGACGCTTGCCGGTCCGGCATCAAGACGAAATCTCATTGGTCGGAAGTCGGGACTCGACAGCCAATCATGACCCAGTATATGTGAAGCGCTATACAAGTGTTCCTGACTTCGTTTTGGGCGTCAAAATACATCGTGCACCTTTGATGGTTGTTTGAACGTGAACGCTAGCTTGGGAGGCTCAAACCGAGAACTAAGCTGAGAAAAATACCGTTACTACACTGCAACATACGAACTCCCCAGAAAAGACCATAACGACGTTCGCCATCAACCAGGGTTAGTGTAACCTCCCCCCTCCCATAAACGCCGAACAACTCGTTCTTTTTGGTATCGTTTCTTCGGCGGAGAGGAATTTTTCGCGTGTAGACCTGGCTCCAACACAATCCAGGTGTAAAGCCTCCGTGGAATGCTTGAGACAGCAGAAAACGCGCTCTTCGGTGTTACAGGTGTGAGGAGTATCGAGCTATGAGGCGCGGTTGAGAGTTCTGCAAAATCTAATCGCAAGTACACCCAGTCATCCTGTCTTAGTTAGGGTGTTGGTCACTTAAACAGTCGAGACTGCATCCAATTGCCTTTCCCAATGTATCCACATACCATGCGACGTTTTCTGAGTTCCCGCAATGGACAAAGGACTTCCACCAGCTCCAATTTCATTGCGATAGAAGGAAACTGAAGGTAGACTTCCGCACGCTGCATCGGATGCCATCGATACACCTGAAAGATCACTTGCTCAATCTCTCTCTCCAACCAGCGCTATATGGTTTCAACTTGATGTGCATGAAAGAATCGTTTCTACCTGTTTCAGCAGGTCATCCATCCTAGTGTGTCTCACCTGTCTATAGTTGTGTGCGGAGAGTTAGTCTTCGCTGCTTCTATTCTATCCGATTTTTTGGTTGCGTTTTTTCACACGAATCGGATTTAGTGTGCACAAAACCACCAGAACACTGTATCGCGTGTTCACTGGGTGTGGGACGTCAACCAAGTCGCCGTGCGACCCGACGCGCATTCGACCCATGTGGTATTTGGGAAGTTCAACTAATGGTGCCCGAATGCCAACGACCCATTGATGGGTTGTGTTCCTGGTATGGGCAAGCCAGCCACCAGATAGCACTGGTCTGTCGTTATCGCCAATCGTCTGTGCTACTAGGAACGCCAAAATAAGTAGCGTGTATAACGAAATACATTCATTTCTATATCACATCGTCCTTAGCTAAAGATTCAAGATGCTTGCTCGTTCTTGCTGTTCTCCTTCAACTGAATGTGCTGCACAAAGGCCCATTTCAGGTTTCAGTTGGTACGATATTCGAAGTATATTTTCCTTGACGGCGCATACTAATCATAAGGTTATTGAAAACTCTTGTCCAATGGGTGAGTTGGGATGCCAATTCCACGTGATTGAACGTCGTTTGACCATAGAAGTGGACAGCTCGTGACCGATTTCTAGATCCTATCTTTCCATTTTTCGGTAAAAATCTAATCGGATGAGTGGTATTTCAACGTGTTGCATATTAAAGGTGATCATCCATTCTCGGGAACCCTTGATGAGCGGTCTGTTCCACACTCAGTTTCATGAACTTGCCATTCCGGAAACGTGTAAGGCATAGTTTTTGGTATAGATCGATTGATATGACACTGCTCAGAAGTTTGATAACACTTTTCGACAAATACACTGCATTTGGTTTTGACGAGAGAATCCAGCTGAATCCCTCGTTTATCATGATCCTAAGCAACTGAACG